ATATGCCTTAATTAATCTTTGTAATTAAGCGCCATCTGTTTTTAATGCTCCTACAGTTAGGTAGGTGTTATAAAAACACCCAGAACTAAAACGCAGCATATCAAAATATTCCACATGCTTGGAGTTTGTGTGTTCAGTAATATCAGTACTAAATACATAGTGCTGAATCTGTCACATGCTAATAGTGAGCTGGATTCAGTCCAGTAAAAGGACATTGTACAAAGGTATGCTAATATACTTTTATCAGAAATTAATGGGTCTCTATCAAACCTATGGAAGCAGCAGTCAAGAAATCAAATGAAACATTGCATTGGGCAAATCTGCTGTAAAAGACCTGTTTAAAATGTTAAGAAGCAAAGATGTCAGCTTGAGGACTAAAGGGCACCTGACCCAAGCCATGCTATTTTCACTCACCTCATATGCATGTGAAAGCTGGACAATAAATAGGGAAGACCAAAGAATTGATGACTTTGAATTATGGTTTTGGCGAAGAATATTGAGTATACATGGACTGCCAGAAGAAAAAACAAATCTGTCTTAGAAGAAGTACAGCCAGAATGCTCCTTAGAAACGAGGACAGTGAGACTTCATCTTGCTTACTTTGGACATGTTATCAGGAGGGACCAGTCCCTGGAGAAGGACATCATGCTTGGCAAAGTAGAGAGTCAACGAAAAAGAGGAAGCCCCTCAACAAGATGGATTGACACAGTGGCTGCATCAATAGGCTCAAACATAGCAACAATTGTGAGGATGGCACAGGACTAGCCAGTGTTTTATTCTGTTGTACATAGGGTTGCTATGAGTTGGAAACAACTCAAAGGCACCTAACAACATCAAACCTATTTTTCCAGAAAGTACATACTGACTGATACTGACATTTTTTTTTTAACAAGTTATGTGAATCACTCTGTAGGTGATTAATTATCCCAAATATGAGAAGGAATGCCAGTATTCTAGCAGTTGTTCTATGTGACAGATGGAAGATCTGTAGAACAGTGGAATGTGTTATTTTTTAGGGCCTCAAAGACTAAGCAATTATTGTTTTTAAAAAAGAGAGTATAGAATATGTCCCAATACGATGTGTCATAGCAATTTGTAGAATTTTTTACCTAAATTTAGAACTAAAGAAAGAAACCTTTAGAGATCTTCTTTTTCAAACCCCTCGATCAATCGATAAAGAAATTGAGGACCTGAGAAGTTAAGTAATTTTCTTGAAGCCACGTAACTAGTTTGTCACTGAGCTGAAACTAGAAACTAGACTTTCTGGCTACTTTAAGTGCTGTGTGTTTTCCACTGCCTTCCAGAAAGGCCAGAAGTTCTTGCTCAGTGACTCACAGTGAATACATGAAGGATTTTCCTTCTGTCCTTTAATCTTTTAAGATTAACAAGCAGTGGTAGAAGCTTTGAAAAAGTATACTGGTATACGGGCACGCTTGTTATTAGCTGCTGTTGAGTAGATTCTAACTCATGACGACCCCTAAAAAAAAAATAAAACCAACCAAACCGATTGCTGTCAAGTCAATTCCAACTCATAGTGACCCTACAGGGCAGAGTAGAACTGCCGCATAGGGTTTCCAAGGCTGTAATGTTTATGGAAGCAGACTGCCACATCTTTCTCCCAGAGAGTGGCTGATGGGTTCAAACCACCGACCTTTTGGTTAGCAGCTGAACACTCAACCACTACTCCACCAGGACTCCTTATGGCAACCCCTACTAACCTTTATGTTTCTGATCCCTAATCTCGAACATTCGTCTTATTTCTAAGCTCTAACTTTCAATCTTACAGGAAACAACACTGTAACCTCCATAACCTCCAAATGGAGAATACCTCACTCTTTTTGGTCTCAGATTCTCCACCTAAATGGGTGGAAGCTTAAGTTCAAGAATTACTTAACTATTAAACATAAAACTACGATGTGACCCAGCAATTCCATTCCTGGGTATGTAACCCAAAGACTTGAAAGCAGGGACTCAAACAGATACTTGTACACCAGTGTTGATTGCAACACTATTCACAATAGCCAAAAGGGAGAAACAGCACAGGTGTCCATCAACAGATGAACGGATAAACAAATTGTGATACATACATACAATGGAATATTATTCATCCATAAAGAGAAATGAAGTTCTGTTACACACCACAACATGGATGAACCTTGAAAACATTATGCTGAGTGAAATAAGTCAGACACAAAAGGATATGAAGTGTATGATCCCACTTATATGAAATACCTAGAATAGGCAAATACATTGACACAAAAGTTTATTAGTGGTTACCAGGGACTGGGGAGAGTAGAGAATGGGGAGTTATTGCTTAAGAGATACTGAGTTTCTGTTTGGGGTGATGAAAAACTTTTAGAAATAGAAGTTTAGAAATAGATGGTGGTGATGGTTGCAGAACATGGTAAATGTAATGCCACTGAATTAATTACTTGGTTACAAGGGCAAGTTTTTTGTTATATATATTTTACCACCAAAAAAAAAAAAAATACTTAACTAAAACACGCTGTTCCCTAAACAATTTGAAGGTAGATAGCTAGATTAGGTTTTTAGGGTTTGTTCTTGTATCTATGGGGAAGAATCTAGGTCAGTGTGCCATGGCTACCACTGTAGTCTATAACCCACAGCATCGCTGGTTGCCCTAGACCACTACATCCACAATAATAAAAGCTGTGTTTATTAGGCATTACTGTGTGCCAGGCACTGTGCTCAACACTTCCTGTGCTTTATCTCACTTGATCTCATGAGGTAGACAGGTATTAGTACATGAGACTAAAGAGCAACAGAATAAAATAGAGTTTTTTCTCCCTTAAAAATGCATAAAAATAAAAAATTTTATTTCCTTTACAACTTCTGGTCCCTTTTTTAATGCACAGTGAGTCCAACCAAACGGGATACAGTTTTCATCTCTTTTATGAGCCTCTGGTATGTAGAAATGATAAGTCCCCCATAAAAATTAGTTGTACCGATGGTTAATTGAACCTAATTTGCAGCCTGGGTATTTCACAATACAGAAAATTTGTTCATAAGATTTAACCTTTGAGGGGGGAACTTCAACTTATAAAAATTCACAATTTAGCTTTAAATAGAAGGCTTTCATCAATAGATAAGAAAGGGAGCAAACATTTTCCATCCCAGTGAAACTAAAAAGAAAGCATGGTGAAGAGTGAGTAGGGAAATAAGATTTTTGACCCAAAAATTGTTGGGCCAAAATTTTTAAAGGTTGTTTAATTGCTTAAAGATTTCTATCTTAAGGGCTCATGTGCAGATGACATATTTACCAAAAGGGTCTAAATCTAGGCTAATTTCATTTAAAGGAATCCTAACAGAGGTATGATTCCCTTCCCCTCTAACTTTCCTTTTCCTTCAGAGGCTCCTAAGGAGGCCCCTACAACACAACCATTGTACTAGTTCATGATAAAGCTCATTAGAGTCAACTGCAATGAAAATATGAATTTGAGATTCAAGGGTACTGATCACTCTTTTCTCTCACAAATCCAGAATAAAATTCACTAAGTACTCAGATGGAAATGTTTCCATGTGCTTTTATGTCTTCTGGTAGAAATGCTGCCTTTAGCATAATAACATATAACAAGCCACCATGCATCTCTTCATTCCTGTATTTAACACCATTTACTGAGCACCACTAAGTGCTAGAGCTATAAATGAATAGGACATAATCTCTACCCTCAAGGGGCTTATAGTATAGCAAAGGAGACTATCATAAAAATACATCACTATGATTCTACATGGTAAGTATAATAATATTGGATATGATATCTAAACGTCATTGTAGGAAAAGGCAGATAGTCCAAAATTTGCCCCCAAAGTAGCATTATTCAAAACAGTATTTTACAGATAGTACTACTAGAGAGTGTAAAAACATATCCGAGTTGAAAGAATAACAAACATTATTTTTCCCCAACCTAGGCCTTACCTAACCCCTCTTAAGTGTTTCTCTTTGCCTTTCTTTCGCTCTTTCTTTAGTTTTCTTCATCTTTCACACTTCCTCACCCCACAAGAAGCCAGATGTTAAGGAAATTGTCTTTTTGACAAACATCATTAAGTGATGATTCCCCAGCGGGGATAATTATGAATTCTGTCCACTAAATGTAAAAGTACTCTCTGGCCTAATCACATGAACAAAGCACCAGTCATAGTTATGTCAAGGACAAAACAGATTGGACAATGCTCCCTGAGAACCAAGCCTGTGTTTCGTTGTGCAACTTTGAATTCTGGATAATCCTTTACTTTTTTTTTTTTTGTACTTTAAGTGAAAGTTTACAATTCAAGTTAGTCTCTCATACAAAAATGTATCCGTACATTGTTATGTGACCCTAATTGCTCTCCCTATACTGTGACAGTACACTCCTCCTTTCCACCCCTGGATAATTCTTTACTTTAGTTCATGAAACAGGTTGCCTTTTCTAGTGCCTGATTTTGTCAAGTGCTGGAGATGCCAATAAGATGAATAAGGCACTGTCCCTAGCCTTAAGGACTTTGTTCCAAAGCAGGATAAATAGACATGAAATAAGTAATTACAATATAAAGTAAAAATTACTATAAATGACGCATGTACTGAGGGTTACGAGAATACTGGGGAAGAAAAATTAACTCTGCTTAAGAATTCAGGGAAAGCCTCATAAAGAAGGTGACGTTTGAATTGGGTCTTGAGGGGTGAGTAGGAGCTGGCTTTCAATTATTTCATGTTTAAGTAAATATACTTGCCTTTCTTCACTAAACTTTCAAATCTTTCCACCTTCCTGGAAGGATCCTGAATTCCTTTTTTTTTTAGTTAAATTTAATTTAAAAAATGAATAATTAATTTTTATCGATAGTCTGGGCTACTGCTTGAAGTAAAAACACGAGCAAAGTCTTAGGTGGAAAGCAGAACTTGAGATGAGTAGAGGGGAGGAGGGTTTTTACTATGTGGGAACTAGGGCTGAGGAGGGAGCGGCAGTAATTCAGTGATTCATCCTGTCATTCCTCTTTCTCCATAGCCATCAGGTTTGGGCGGATGCCACAGGCTGAGAAGGAGAAACTGTTGGCAGAGATCTCCAGCGACATCGACCAGCTGAACCCAGAGTCTGCTGATCTACGGGCCCTGGCCAAACATTTGTATGACTCATACATAAAGTCCTTCCCGCTGACCAAAGCAAAGGCGAGGGCCATCTTGACAGGAAAGACAACAGACAAATCAGTTAGTTCTCTTCTGTCTTGGTTTGGGGAGGGTGGGTTCCCACCCCCCTTGAATAAATTATTTACCATGTTACACATACAAATGCAGAATTCTCTTCAGCTGTTGGCTGTTACATATTGCAGGCTAAATCTGAAAAACAAGAGCTGTTTCCAGGTAGGCTAAGTAAACATTATTTTTAAAAGGGAAACTGTCCTCCATATTCTCTTAACGAAGTCTTTGAGAATAGGACAAGAGTGTACAGGTCATCTTAACTTTACAGAAGTGAACTCAAACCCCTCATCTTACCATCCTCTTTCAGGAATCCAGCTATTATCTTGGCATTCAAATAATTGGCCACAACAACATTTATTCAGGCTACCCTACTATTCTCTGGGAAGTACCCTGAGAAATGATATTTTGGTCACACTCTTTTTTTTTCACTTACCTTTCAAAAGAACTACTGGAGCTACTGCTCATAAAGTTCAAAAAGTGGCATAAAAGTTCTTACCAGAGATCATATTACCTTTCTTTCATTGCAGCACTCTATTGATTATTCCTGGGGAATTGGAAGCTCTATCCTTTTATTACATACGTGAATTTTCTCATCTGCCAGCCTCTGAGCTGCCTGGGCTACTCCAGTGGATTCTCTAACGTCTGTAGGCTGATTGACACCACTGTTTAGAAAACTCAGAATGGAGTGCCTTAGTAAAGAGAAAATATTTGTTACTGAGTCAAGGTTTCCAAGACACAGAACTCTTCTCTGATGGGGGTTTATAAAGCAATATGGAATTATATTAAAACAAAACGACACCTGGATTCTATTCCCAGTTCTGCTACCAGCTTGCAGTGTGACCTGGGTCTCGACTCTAGAGCTCAGTTTTTACAGGCAGGGTCTGGCTTTGTGTATAATTTCTGCAACATGCCCCTAGGGTAGCAAGAGTACAGAACACGTTTAAAAGACATTGGCCCAAACCCTGAAAGCCCTTTTATGCAATCATTTATTTTTAAATGAACACCTCCATGAGAGGCAAGCAACTGCTTGATAGAGACGTATAGCTTTTTCCCTGCTCAGAAATATTTTTGGGAAATTTTTATTACCCTTTAATGTATTTTGATGATGGTCTCAAGGTGTTGTTATTTCCTTTTAGCTAAATCATAAGCATAGAACCAGCTAACAGAAAAGAAAAATTCCTGTGGAATATTGCTGTATAAAGAGCCAAATGTCAGTAAGGACTATATGTTTTTTGACTGCACAAGAGGTTGCTGATACCTTAATGATATTATACATGTATCGAATTCTTAACAGCTGCATAAAATCTTGCCCATCAATAATGTTTGATCCCCACGGGCATCCTACTGCTGCTATTATTATCCTCTTTTTAAAGATGAGGAAGCTCAAGTCCAAGGAGATGATACAGTTTGCCCTAAGATCATACAGCAAGCATGTGGAAGAACCAGGACCATAGTGCAAGCTTTCTGACTTCTAGCATGATGTTCCCTCAGCACTCACTTATCTTTCCCATTGGCTAGCAATGAGCCCAGGAAGCACAGACACTAAGAAAGCTTCACCTTGCAAAAACCTTCTGAGTGTCATTTGTTTTTGGTTTTTTAAAATTTATTTTATTTATTTTAATTGTGCTTTAAATGGAAGTTTACAGTTCAAGTTAGTTTCTCATACAAAAATTTATATACACACTGCTATGTGACCCTAGTTGCTCTCCCCATACTGTGACAGAACACTCCTCCTTTCCACCCCGGATTTCCCGTGTCCATTCAACCAGCTCCTGACCTCTGCCTTCTCATCTCGCCTCCGGACAGGAGCTGTCCATTTAGTCTCATGTGTCTACTTGAGCTAAGAAGCACACTCTTCATGAATATCACTTTATGTCTTATAGTCCAGTCTGATCTTTGTCTGAAGAGCTGGCCTCAGAAGTAGTTTTGGGCTAACAGAGAGTCCAGTGGGCATGTCTTCCAGGGTCCGTCCAGTCTCAATCAGACCGTTAAGCCTGGTCTTTTTACTAGAATATGAGTTCTGCGCCCCACTTTTCTCCTGCTCTGTCAGGGACTGTCTGTTGTGTTCCCTGTCAGGGTGGTCATTAGTGGTAACCGGGCACCATCTAGTTCTTCTGGTCTCAGGCTGATGGAGTCTCTCGTTTATGTGGCCCTTTTGTCTCTTGGGCTCATATTTTCCTTGTGTCTTTGGTGTTCTTCATTCTCCTTTGTTCCAGATGGGTTGGGACCAATTGATGCATCTTAGATGGCCGCTCACTAGCTTTTAAGACCCCAGAAGCCACTCACCAAAGTGGGATGCAGAACATTTTCTTAATAAACTTTGTTACGCCAGTTGACCTAAATGTCCCCCAAAACCATGGTCCCCAGGCCCCCACCCCTGTTACTCTGTCCCTCGAAGTGTTTGGTTGTATTCAGGAAACTTCTTAGCTTTCGGTTTAGTCCACTTGTGCTGACTTCTTCTGTAGTGTGTCTTGTCCTTCCCTTCACCTAAGATAATTCTTGTCTAGTATCTAGTTGGTAAATACCCCTCTCCCTCCCTCCCCACCCTCGTAACCATCAAAGAATGTTTTCTTATGTGTTTAAACCTTTTCTTGAGTTCTTATAATAGTGGTCTTATATAATATTTGTCCTTTTGCAACTGACTGCACTCAGGATAATGCCTTCTAGATTCATCCATGTTATGAGATGTTTCACAGCGTCATCATTGTTCTTTATTGTTGTGTAGTATTCCATTGTGTAAATATACCATTATTTGTTTATCCATTCATCCGTTGATGGGCACCTAGGTTGTTTCCATCTTTCTGCTATTGGAAACAGTGCTGCAGTGAACGTGGATGTGCATATATCTATTCATGTGATGGCTCTTATTTCTCTAGGATATGTTCCAAGGAGTAGGATTGCTGGATCGTATGGTTCTTCTATTTCTAGCATTTTAAGGAAGCACCAAATCGATTTCCAAAGTGGTTGTACCATTTTACATTCCCACCAACAGTGTATAAGTGTTCCAGTCTCTCCATAACCTCTCCAACATTTATTATTTTGTGTTTTTTGGATTAATGCTAGCCTTGTTGAGATGAAATGGTATCTCATTGTAGTTTTGATTTGCATTTCTCTAATGACTAATGATCGTGAGCATTTCCTCATGTGTCTGTTAGCCGCCTGAACATCTTCTTCGGTGAAGTACCTGTTCGTATCCTTTGCCCATTTTTTAATTGGGTTATTTGTCTTTTTGTTGTTGAGGTTTTTGCAGTAGCTTGTAGATTTTAGAGATTAGACACTGGTTGGAGTTGTCATAGCCAAGTATCATTTATTTTTATCAATTTTTAGAACAAGAATTCTTCACTCATTCTGCTATCCCAGTATATTTTCCATCAGGAAACTTTTCTACTGTAGCTTTGTTCTTTTTGAATTATAGCAACCAGGCCTGCTGTCTTCAGCACACACAGTACTGCAGAATATAGGTGCTGGCAAAGCTGAGCCTATGTATTTGTTAAATGAAAAAATTGAGGCATAGCCAATGAAACATAACTGAAGTCCTCTACATAGCTGACTTAACTATGGGAAACAAACTGTGTTCATTTAAAGGCAGAGAGATAAAGGGAAAACTAGACTGACGTGGCTAAAGGGGGTTAACATTTTAAAGCAGGTTATAACAGCCTGCTGAGAGCTGGTAATGGATAGGGAACAGAAGAATAGAAGAAAGAGAAAGTGCCCCAAAACAAACTATTTACTTCACAATTTCACCTATGGCCAATTTGTTTCCAGGTATTGCTTTCTCACCTTCTTTTCATTTCCCAGCCCAGACCTGCAATCCATGCTTGAAAACCTATCAATTTAATAGTGTCTGGAAGATAGGAGGAAGACTTCTTTTTTTTTTTTTTTAAATTTACCTGGTAGTCAAGAATTTAAATTTACACTAAGGGTGGCCAACATAGTCTTTACCTGTATTACTGAAGGGCTAGAGCTCAAGCCACTGTAAACCTCACTCCAGCTGAATCCTTGGCTCTAAATCTGAGCTAAAAATAATTGGCGGCTTTTTGTGTGATAAGCAAGTATTAAACTATTTTAAGACAAAGGGCTGCAAAATGCTTGACTATGGGCTTCTCAAGTTCAGAGGCCAAGAATTTGTCGGGGGATTGTTTCCCCCCTGTAGTAACTAGGACTGTGCTTTGCCCATAATAGTTACTCAGATTGTATTTGCTTAATTGAATTAAAAGCTGTTGCCTATGCCCTTCGAAACTCTGGACTTTCAACAGAGGGACTCTAACTAGCCCAATATTTGCTCACCAGACTGGACATCATTAACAATCTGGATGGGGCAGAATTGCCTCTTGTTAGGGTCTGGAAAGGAAAGAGAGGCAGGATCAAATTAAAATAATCCATTCCCTGATTACACAAAATAGAATTGTTTGGCGCTCTCTTTTCTCCTTATCTTGCAAAATCAAATTAAGCTGTAGTGGAAAGAAAGAGTTCAGAGAGGAACATGGGAGAGAGAAAAAATCCAAAATGTGATTTCCAGTGAGTCTAGAGATTTGTTCTTTATCTACATGGTCATGTTATTCATTTGATAGCATCTATCTCAGGGGTGTTATGTTATCTCTTGGCCAGGGCTTATGAAAGTTAAGATTTCTGCATTGATAGGAAAAGTTTTGTAAAAGTATGGACTCTTGAGAGTGGGGGAGGTAAAAAAAGTGGTTACTGCTTGTGCAGTAAAGCACTTTGGGTCGCATTATGCACCCTGTTTGAGACTGAGGTCATTATTGGTGGTTAGGCCAAGCCTGGGGGAGGCTCTGCGTAGTAGTAAATGACCACTTACTCAGAACGTTTTGGAAAAGGAAATGACTTTATTGGAGAGGCCATTCTTTAAATCGACTTTACTGCTCAGTTTAACCATTGCCTATTCTGTCTCCTTTATCGAGTGCCTGGTAATCTTTTCTCTGAGGCCCAGCACCAATATTTGCCTCCAGGCCAGCCAAGCTTTCTCCCTCCCCAACTAAAACTTCCTTCTC